TCTTTAACTATCTTGCAAGGCCATGCTCAGTGTGTGCACAGCTCAAACAGAAAGCAGTGGGAAAAGAACATCAGCGAGCTAAAACACAAAATAAATAAAAGAAGTGAGAGATGGACCAAAACATTTACAGTGCTAATGATTGATGTTCTCTGAGGTTTTCTTCATTCTGTTCTTCCTGAAGTGTACAACTAGTCTTTGTGTAGAGATGTGTTTGTGAGCCTGAATATGTTTGAAAAGGCATAGAAGTCCCAGCCTAAGGACTTGTGGACAAACTTTCAGCGATAGAGTTGCGGCATGAAAGCGAGGTTCAATCATGCCTTTCAGTAGTAAAACAAATATTGCAGCTAGGGAAAATAACTCCGGGCTGAATAAATCCCCAGCCTCTGGAACATCCCTAACTCTCAGGAAAGAACAGCTTCATAGTAGAAATGCACACGTGCACACTCTAAGAAGATTTGACAGTGTGCACTCTGTATGCTTTTATGCTTCACTGATACTGAAGGGGAAAAAAAGGCACAGGAAAGGGATTTGCCCAGTAAAAATGACGCATATGAGCCAGGAACAGGAAGAGCTTTGGGGGAATGCTGCTATGATACACATTGCTGACATGCAGCTCAAGTGTCACAACATCGTGTCACACATGTTTCTACAGCCGATTTAGAGATGGGGCAGGAAGTGCAATCTGGGTCAGTTCATTACGAACATCTGGGAGGGTGGCGAGAGCTGCTTTACAGATACAGGCACGATGGCTGTTGGACAGGCCAAGAAGGCAAAGGGAATTCAACTGGGTCTTAATTAAAAGTGTGTCCTCAAGAGACAGTTTGGGTTGGGTGGTGTCAGAGGAGAGAGCTTCCTCCCCTCGTATGGTCTATTTGAGGAGAGTGAGCAAAATATGTGAGAAATATCTTACATCTTCACCTTCTTTAATGTGTTGATGTTAGGTTCCTTTTTTCTTTTCTACAGATTCGGGGAGATGATCCTGTAGCGCAGTCCACGGAGTTTTGCATTATGCCGGCATCTAATCCAAACCTCTTTACCATTTGAGTGCCTAATTGTGCTCTGCCTGTAATCCGTGTGTTTGGAGTCATGCCAGGGTGACACACCATATGATGGTGCTTCCCATAATATGGTGAGCATGATCTGGAATAAGTTTATCCTCCTGCTGCTGCTTTCTGATCCTAATCAGTCATCGGCATGTAAATCCACCGAGTTTAGCTAAACTGTCACAAAGTCAACAGCAGAGCAACGTGGCTTTTCTGCTTTCGCCTCTTGTCAGGGTGGATACCAGTTGATGGTGACACCCAATGGTATGTTTAGAATCGGACTGGTTTTGGGTATGACAGACATGCCATCGCAGATAATTTTGCTGACACGGCAAGAACAGGCTGCAGAGTTATTCAGGACATGAGCATTGCTGCTTTCAGGCATTAAATCTTTCTAATTAAAATTGATCTTTTTTTCCCCCTTACACCTGCTAATGGTGTTCTTTTTGGATAAGCAATGAATTAAAACTCTCTACAAAGTTGTATGCATTGAGAAAATATGGCTTCCAGGTGCATAAGGCTGCTGTTTAATCTGAGCATCACTGCTGGACCTCGGTGCTTCCTTGAGAAACCCATATCAGACCATCTGCTCAAGAATGCCATTAGCAGTTCAAGGTTCTTGGGAGCCAGATGACTGGATGTAAATGCCATCTGATTGGACAGCAGATGATTTAGAGACAGATAAAAACGGAACAAGATTTCAGTCAGTATCCCATTGAGGATGGGATCAATACCGCTCTGGTAACAGGGATTGTCAAATTAAATTTAAGTTGCTAGAAATTATTACTAGTGGTCACACAAAATGGTCTGGCTCTTTGATGGGTGGGGAAATGGAGCATCCTAGAGAGTGAGTCACCTCGGGCACTAGTGATCGACTGGGCCCGGGCTTAAGGAATCAATACCACTGAGGGCAAAAGTTTGATATGCCTCCCTGAGCCTTTTTTGTCTTTTGGATCTCAGTACAACAGTGAACTGAAAGAGTTTCGAGCCAAACATACATGAAAGCACAAATATACTGTACACATATAAATATGCAGAAAGGCAGGCAGTGTTGCTCACATACTCAACCCAAACAGTTAGCCAAATTCAGATAGCTTAGCACACACTGTGAAGAAACATTTCATCTCCCTCAGACTGAATATGTCTCAGGTCTTCAAACTGAAAATGCAGGGAGCCCAAGCAGAAAAAAACAACCACTGAACATCTAAAAAAAGAACGGCTGCTGAATAAACGTCTTCTGTCCCAAGACTATCCATTTAAATTCTGCCTCTTAAAGGGCTGAGAAGGGGATTCCTGTGTGTGAATTTCTATTTACAACTTATCAAGTTTGTAATGGTGTCATCACTGATTTTACAAACTCTCATCAACAGCTGTCATGAAAAACATCCAAGTAATTTGTGGGAAATATTTATACTGTTAGACGCACCATACCGAACACCTGTCTGATCTAAAGATGGATTAGAAATAAATTAGTTCAATGTAATTTCTGCATCAGAAAATAAAGCTTTTCCTATGTGTGAATCCATCATTCCAGCTGGAGCCCAGAATATCTCATTGAGTTGGTTTAAAGTCAAGGTAACAGTTTATTGGCTAAAACAACTCAGTTATTGGCTTTGGAAGGTGACACATCAAGTATAGGTTTACTCTTTTGTGCTTGGAGTACTTTCAATGAATATGAAGATGTTTTTTTTACAGAACATTTTCTATAGGGTTCACGTACATCAAACTATAATTTCGTAATGAAACAAATAGACGGTATGCTTCTACTGCACAGAATTATTCATTTGTGCACCATGAATCAGGGACTTATTTAATCATTAAAACAGACTGTAAAACATCATCATTCTTTCGAATAAAGCCCACGCTAAATGATATGTTAATGAGTTGAATGGTCAGAATTCTTCCTGTTGCACTGGGCACCATTGACTGGTTGACGAACTTAAAGGTTTTTATGAAGAGGTTCACGTCATTGTTATTAGAGTCTGAGAAAATAAGCGTCTATTTATTCTATGTAGGAGACTATCTAATTTTTTTAAGTGAGCTCATCAAAATAAGTAAAATAGGACTTTTAAGAACAGACCCAGAACACAGCTAGATAATGTGTAGTATAGTATATGCCTGCATGTTTACCTTTGACGTATTTTTATACCTAAAAAAATAAATCAACTAAGTTTTTAACCCACTTTTAAATTGAAGTACAACCGTTTAAGTACAGGGTCCATGCATGGCTTTTTCCATTGCAGGTTTGCCTTACATGGTCCATGGGTTAAAACCTCCAGTCCTCTATACCTTTACCCTACAGAGAACAGGGATGCCATTAGACATGAGGGTGTTAGACTATAACTTGCAGGCTGTGCTTCTGATAATCACAGCTCAGATAATCAGTCTGCTTTACTACTTTTGGCTGACCTTGGATGTCAACACCACACAGGGGGACAAAGAAGGAGCTTCAAGCTATCTAGACTACATGTACAAAAAACAATCAATCTCCTCTTTTTTTATCTCATCCGGTAAACACCCGGTCTTATGTTCCCCATTGAAACTGAGCTGAACTGACGCCAATTAAAACCTTCTTCTGCTGGAACTGATTAAAACCAGCTTCTGCAGCAGTGGTTTGACAAAGGTTTGTATGACTACAGCAGAAAAAGCTCCTCTAATTCACACATTTTTCTGTGTCCTCTGTGAGAAAGCGAAACATATTGCTCCCACAAATGTGTGCCTGTCCACCAGGAGAAAACCTTAGTTGAAATGCAACTGTATGCATGTAACCTTGCGTTACTTGGCTGAATGCATATGAAATTTGTAAGTCGGTTACGAAGTGATTAACAAAGGATCAGTCACAGTGATTCTAATCAGACTTAAATGATTATTTTACTGATTTGGGTCCGAATATAGCAGAAATTGTAGCATTAATCTATTTCCACATCTGTTATATTGAACTGATTTAAGAGTATTTAAATTGCCTATTTGGATTTGATGGACACTCATATTTATTTGAGCTGGAGGATACAGAGTAAGAGCAGCGCTAAATTATAGAGAGGACAAGAAGAGACCAGAGCAGCTGTCAGAGGCGAGTGAACTTGGGTGAATAAAATTACCTCCACTTAGAGCTCAGTGGGTCACTTTGCTTTTAAAGCATTTTTCTTTAGGAAAAAAGTCATTTAGTGTAGAACTTATTTTCTTATTAAACTGGCTGTCCTCTTAGTCAAATGGACAAGAGGGGGTACATCCTTTTGTGAACAAAATCTTGACCATGACTTCGTCTGACAAAGGTAGTCTATGATAACACTGAAAACTAAAGCCTGACATTGTGCTGATGTTTTCAAAGAAAAAAAACTAAACCTGGTTTCCTTTAGAAAGCCATAGTTTACAGCATGTACTCTGTAATATTATTCCATTCTTTCCATGGCAGCTACCTCTCACTCATGTAGACTTCTGTTGTTCTGCAGTATCTGAGCCCCCTGAGATTTCAGAGTGCGATATCTCCTTTAGTGAGACTTCAGAAGAATCCTTTCCATAATATTGTAAGACAGTTATAGTAACAGTATGAGCCCTGTCTCTTGCAAATACAAGCCTTTTGCTGTAAAACAGTGGCCCATATAGTCACATAGCAGCTGTTCTCATTCAGTAATGGTTACAATTGCAGAAATTTATGTGCTTAATGATGATTTACTCATTTATCTTTAAGATAATTGGCAATTTATTTTCTTCCAAATGGATTGACTGAAAAAGCTTTGATGTTCAGTGGAATAAAAGAAAGAATAAGATAAAAGAACCCTTTGAAGGTTCACACCCCCACACACACACTATATAAAGCATATATATAAATATATATATATATCAATATATATATATCAAACACTGTTAAAATAACAGTAGTAAACAGTATGAGAATCGGTCTTAAGCCATAGTAACCAACACTATCAGTAAATCTTGAAAAAAGAAGTTTTTACTCACCCAGTTTTTGCAAAGTTGGTCCAGTAGGTCATGACTACAGCACTGAGCATGACATCATTTTTAGAGAAGTTACAGGGGAAAAGGTCAGTGGGGCCAATCATAGGAATCCCAAAGACATAGGGCACCTCGTCTCCGTGGGCGGCATCTGACCATGCAGGCTTCATCAAGCTCTGGCAGTGGTGATAGAAGGCGTAAAAGTAGGTGGGAGAGCCGTAGCGAGCATGGAGGTCAGCTGTCACCACTGAGGGCTCAACCCACTGGTGGTCAGTAAACAGGGCCACCAGGGTCTTCCGCCTTGTCTCAGGATTGTCCCTGTCTGCCCAGTCCGTGTACATGAACTTGATGGTCTCCCTCAGCGTGTCCTTTCCCTCTGGGTAACCGTACAGACTGTCCACGAAATCAGACACGGAGAAATCAAAGTCGTTTCCAGACACGCCGTCTTCCGAATCCACCACGTTCTCCACAAAGCGAAGCCCTTCACCTTGGTTGACCCCAAGCATGATATCATAGTTGAGGAACTCGCCCTGTTCCATCAGAATCTCGGGGTCATCGGGAATAACATCACCATCGATTACAGGTCCAAAGGCCACGTGATACCTCGCCGGTTGTATGTCCTGTTCCACCAGCTCCCTGGAGCTCTTTTTCCTCAGACAGTCCACCATGTCCGACGTGTCCAGGACATTACAGCCCACCTTCTCTGCCAGGAGACGCGTGTACTTGACCGGTTGGTAGTTCACTGCCCAGCTGGAGAGGGCCGACCCGCTCTGAATGATGGCTCTGTGGAATAGACCTGCGCAAGGACAAAGGAAGACGGATAGGATGATGGTTAATGTGCTACTATTAAGAAAGGTAATGCAGTTATACACTCTATTACATGACAGCTGTTAATTTTGTTGCTGCCATGATCAAAAGGGAGCTGTCAGCTACATAAAAGATAAGAATAACAAAGGCCAGGCAGAAGAAGTCCTTGTTGCCACACAGAACAATAATGGAATCATTGCTGTGATAATGAATGTGCAGATGGCCTGGTCTCGCAGACAGCTCCCAGACAGACAGAGGAATCAACAATCTTTTTCATCCTCCCTTCCTCCATCCATGGCTATATGCTCTGCTGGAGAGATATTGTATATTTCAGGAGCAGTTTCTGCCAGTCTGGGTCAATAGGCTTTGTTGCAAACAGAGCGTCACATGAAAACGGACAAAACAATCTATACCATAAAATACAGTCCTTTCCTAGTATGAAATGCACAACAGTTTGATTTAAGTCATCTCTCATGGTGATAATTCACTTTTCAAGGTGGCGCATATTGGATGAACCTCAAACATTGCAATTGTACACAATGCATCAGTTATGCTTCACATAAGTTAAAGTCTTTTTTTCCCCGACTGAATTCGACAGAAGTTTGTGGGAGGATTGCTATAAATAAAATTAGACTCCCACACCCTACATTTGCGGAAGGAACCGAAGAGCTACATTTCCTCTGGCAACATTATGCAGCATGGTAGCATACAATAAACAGAACAGATATATTATTACATATATATATTACACAAAGACACACGTTTAACTAAGATAAAAAGAAAATCTGTTATGTGAATTGACGTAGAGGTTCAGTTTTAGGCTTTAAAGGGAATACAGCGGAGAAACCATGTTACACGCATTTACAGAATAATGGAGTGCATCAGCTCATAAAATTACATCTCAGTTGTGCTACATTATCAAAATAAGTCCAAGATAATCTTTTTTAAAAAGCAGATCTGAAAAGAAAAACTAATTCGATTTTCCAAGATAGGGTAACATTGTATATCCTTTGAAAAAAAGGATCTTAACAGAAAAAGGAAGCGATGGGAGCATGACATTCTCTGGTTCGGGGAGGTCCCCCTCACATTGCTGCCAGCACCTTGCTATCCCTGTCTCTGCTCAACTGTCCCTCTGATATGGTTTTCATATTAACAAGTGTTATTTTACTGATCACAGGGAAAATCAGAGGGGAAGCTGTAACCATTTGACCATGCTGCTGCATTGCTCATGGCGTGATCACTGTCAGAGCAAAGGAGCGTCACTGAACTCGTATCCTCATGAACATCGAGTGAAATGCTCCCAAAATGTCAGTCATAAAAAGAATCTTTTAATAAATGTCATGAGATGAGCCCAGAGTGAAAAGCACAGAAACGTACAAACTTTGCTTTTGATAATTCTGCGTCAGTGTAGGTGGCTGTGTTAAGATCTTTGAGTTTATGAGGTAAACAGCTGACTAAAGTGCCAAATATATCACTTCGGTAGTCTTAATCTGAAGCGGCAGGGGGCTTATTTCCACTTGGCATAGACAAAGTGTTTATTTACGAAGCTATTTACATTTATTTGTTCGCAAGTAGGAAGTAGAATTAATTAGCCTCGGTGAGCAAACTGTGAAATGTTTCTGTGGTGAGTGTGTCGACTGATATCTGCTGCGTTTTGAGATTTTGAATGATGACTTTAAGGTATAGTTATGACTTTTGACAAATTTCAACAAGTCTGTGGTATATGTTTTATTTATCCACTGGGAGAGCGATAGCTCGGCTTCAGCATTGTATTTTCCTTTCTACATGGATGAGGCTACCAGCTTTCAGTGGCCCTGCCCCAGCACTGCCCTTTGAGCTGTCCTGTGGTGGTGTGTCTCAGCATGATGGCGGCCTGGGCTATGTCCCAGGGAGCGGAAGCAGATGTCGAGAGTTTCACCCACTTGAAAGCATTAAAGAGGCAGAAGCAAGATGAAAGATGGTCGCTCTGAGGCAGAGAGGGGGGCAGGGGCTTAATCCTGCCATCCCTCCCTTCTATTCCTCCTCTCTCCTCCCCTCTCCTCCCAATACTCTTTTAGTGGTATTGCCTCTTTTCACGTCCCAGCTAAGATTGCACTGTGCAAACAGGAGCAACGATGGCATGGGGAATCTGTCTTGAATCCAAATGCCTGCCAGCGACGCCACGGTAACTTTTGGATTGTCTTTGATCAGAAGTTGCTGCAGGAAAGCGACTTCTAACAGAGAAGCTCCTGTGATTGCCAAGGTGATTTGACATACACAAGTATTTCATATCCATTCGCCATTAATGTCGAAAGTTGCGTGAATGTAACTCAGCTTTTCCCCATGTTTACCTGCTTCCAAATAAACAGATGGCCAGCTGAGGAGGAGGTTAAAGCCAGGTTGACACCACAAGATTTATATTCGCTTTGGTTGATGAAAGGGCAGGAGAGTGACTGAGGTTTTACTATTGTTTGTCGAGAAACATATAAATCCGGGACACATGAGCTGTCAGTGAACCAATAAATATGCATTAGAGCTCCATGTGATGAGCCGCACTGTGATAGGAGGCTCACTGGGGAAGGTCAGAGAGAGAGAGAGAAGAGAAGAGCATGGGCTTTATCACCTGGAGAGGGAATGCACTAATTATCCACACTGGAGATGTACACGTCTATGAACGCACGTATGTGCACGCGAATCGACGCTGACTTTGATTGTGCAGAGGGGTTAACTTTTTGTGACAGTATTTAGCTTCCTCTGACATCGATGTGGTGAACCACTCCTCAGTTCAGATGAATCAAACAGAGAGGCTCTGACGTAAGATCCCCAACATGTGTCGCATCCATATCCGGCATATTTTATTCGGAAAGAGCAACAGATAGCCCTATCGTTATCTGCCTGTGTTTGACATGCGAGAACCCGACACCTAAACTGTGAGCCGATCCATCAAACCACAGTGCTGCAGGCAGATTGAGGTCACACTGAATTATGACTAGAGCTCCAAGGTAATCACTCATTGGGCCCCTGCTTAAATGCTGTTGCATCGGCCTGCAGCCGCCTCTGTGCTGCGGTTTGCTGACCTCGACCGCACTGCCCCCTCACCAGACACCCTTTAACTGGGTACGCGGTTCAGGCATTGAATCGGTGGTTTGGCTTGCGGAGATAATTCACAGCTTATACAAGATGGGGTGGGGGGGGGCTTGACCTTGGGGGTGTGATGACCACTGCATTGCTTAAAGAATCCCATACACACTCGCATATTCCCACGCACACAAACACACACAAACATGGCCATTTTACAGCCTTGTTTAGACAACAGCGCTATGGATTATCTGATGATATTAATGAGCCAGCAATGCGGCATCGCTCGGGAGTGACTAACATGATGTGGCAACCGCTGAACGGGTGTGTGAGGGTTCAATCTGTGTTAATGGACGAGGATGGTCTGCTGTTGAGGATGGCAGTTAACACCATTAATTATTGTTCTTTATAATGTGAAACAACTGGCACATTTTACCCATGCGTCAGCAGTCTTTATGACCAGTGTGGATCTGCTGACTGTAAAAGCGCACTGTCGTCCATACACTGAAAATATTTAAAAAGATCTCTAATGATAATATAACCTCAGTATGATCACCTAGAAAATATAGATTGTCAAAGCCTCATTTTATGGGTCAGTGATTTATTTTTCCTCATCATTTTCCACATGGCTCTAACAGCTAACAGGGGAAAAATATGTAAAGCAGCAGATTCTTCTCAACATTCTTCTCATGCACATAAAAGCCATCACAAGAGAAAAGGAACGTGGCCACAGGGAAATGAATTTCCCTCTTTTTGCTCGTCCACAACTTCTATACTCCATCTTTTTTTCCAGCCTTCAATCTTTCCTTCTGCTGTTTTTTTTTTGGTACTCTCTATCAAATTCTGCCCGTCTCCTTTTCCAAGGGGGCATGCTGAGTCCCACCCTGCTGATTATTAGACATAAGCCTGCGTTCAGCGGAGCTTGAATCCTCTGAGCCATCTTACCTCCACCATCTCTTCACTGTAAGCAAATCTCCACAGACCCGTGGACTATGCAGAGCCCCCTCTGTTGCAAACATTTCTCTCTGTCTACCGGCAAACTAGGCTAGCACTCAGTTGGACACACTCAATAAGTGTTGCTCTGCCTCTCTTGCTGCATTTCACCCAAGCTCTCATTTTCTTCCTTTTTTTAGGGCTGTTTTCTTCTTAACTCTCATCTCCTTCCAGGAATGCACAGTGTAACAGTTTTTTCTTAATTAGGGTGATATATGAAGTGCTTTAATCCCCTGTGAAAAATTCAAAGCCATCTGGGATGTGAATACTTATGAAATTTGCCTAATTGTATATCCTTGGCCACTGGCAGTGTAACACAGGGTTAAAGCTGCTGTCACCATGGCTACAGCCTACAGGCTGCGTCCACTTAAACACAAGTGCCTCTGGTCTGATCATGCATTAGTCCACGGGTAATTTCACATTGGTCTGGCAGCCCTGAAACAACACCTACATTGTTTTTCATTTCCATTAAAATTTCGGCGAAACACTGAGCTCTTCCAATTTAACGTGATGCTGATGGAATCAGGAAAAAAGAAAAGCTGAGGGAGTGTCATTGCACATATTGTAGTTTCTGGATTCCCTCAGGTTACAAGGAGATTTCTCTAAGTTCAAACACACCCATGCACAGTGTCCTTGAGCATTTTTCTGATTACACCTGAATGATCAGTTAAACGTGAATATGTTAGACAGTTACCCATGACTTATTTGTAATAGACTGGAAATGCTTTTTGCCTCACTTTTTATGACTGCTGCTTCATGTTACTTCACATAACCTGTAAAGGTTCCATCACAGTTGGGCTATTAGGATAACTGGCAGAAATGCAACCTCCTCTGAATGACATTTTTATTTTTTCATTGATTCATGATAAGCATGCACTTTTGCCTGCGCTGAAGAAAACTCACAGCCAGCCGTACATCCCAGGAGGTGTTGCAGCAATA